TCAGATTTATAAAGGCTCCTTTCCAGTTCCTGACACAGCAGAGGTATCAGTAGAAGGACAAGTGGAGAAATGGTTTAGTCTCGAATGATACTGCTATATTTTCTCTGGGACGTTATTATTTCTATAATTGACCAGCACCTGAATTTTGAATTCACTTGAGCTCCCACAGAAGCAGACCCTAAAACAGGAATTTGTGAGCAGATTAACTCCTTACCGGGAAAGTGATTCTAGGAAACACAGGTTGAGAAGCAAGGGAATGACACAGGAAGGAAAGGCAGACAACAAAAGTGGGTTAACAAACTAGTTCCCACCATGGGCAAGAGGAGTGTCACCTCACTGGGGAGCTCAGAGCCAGGGCAGACCAGGCCTCAGTTGGCCCACCCAAGGGTGAGGAGCTGGATCATTTATATACCAACTCTCTTCAGTGGGGTTGAGGCTAGTCTCAGTGGGGAGAAGAATGAACACCCCAGCACTTCTGGCCTGGGACTACCAGGCCCCCACAGCCAGAGAAAGTCCTTGGAAACGTGGACAAGGTACCAACTGCATCTGCTACAATCTGCCTACAAATATGCAAAACGCTTTAAAGTCCAGGGTCCTTTGAACAAATACACAATAACACCACCTTCTGTCCTTTGAACAGATACACAGTAACACCACCTTTTGGATGAGCTGTTGGAGCAAACTGGGAAGAGGTTGTTTCTGTCTGACATAAACGATGTCCTTTGATACAGCTTTAGGAACCAAGGTTAGAGTCAGCATCGCTTTGTTCACAAATCTAATATTTTCCCTGTACATGGTGCTCTCTCATTACCCTTAAGAAAGTTCTTGGACTCAACATTAACATCCGTTAGGATCTCCTCTGGATAAGATGCACTGAAACCTCCGAATGCAAAATAGAAATAGAATTCAGCATAAGGTAGGGTGAACCTGGACCCCATCCAGAAGAACACCTTTACTTTTCATATCGATTTACAATTAGTTGGCACACATTTGCCAAGAGCTTAGAGAGTAACTGTGGGAAGCAGGTAGGAAAGTTGATAATTAATAGCCCCAAGTTATAAATAAGGACGATGCAGTTCCAAAGGTAAGGTTCACAGTAAGAAGCCAAGAAAGCAGACAGGCACTGGGTCCAAGGTGAGGAAGCAGCTGACCAAAATGGTAAAGAACCCAAGTTTTGGAGTCAGGCAGACCTGGTGATTTACAGCTATGATCCTCACCAGCTGGGGAGCTTGGCCCACTTACGCAGCAATTTCATGCCTGTTTCTCATCCAGATCATGGGAGTTCAGAGTACCTACCTCATATGGTTGTCGTGACGATTAAATGAGCCACTACTTGCAAAGTGCTTTGCCCAGTGCCCAGCATAAAGTAAATACTTAGTAATTGTTATCTGCTTTTGTGTTGTTATTATTATCGTTTTAATGACTTCAAGGTAGAAAGTAGAAAATGCTCTTTCTACTCTGTGTGGCTTGAAGTCCAGGGGTATCTGTGGGGCTATAACACACACCATAGCAACCAGAGAAGAGCGACTTTATTTGCCACCCTACATGAAATGAATGATCTTAGCTCTTGACTTTGCTTCACATGTTGGTCACTCAGAAATCTCAGGTGTGGTGCTGGAGACTGCAGGGTGGGGTTTCAAAAAGTGCTTTCTACTGACGTGGCAGACACGGTCTGATGAGGCCTGAGATGGGTCGAATTCTTCCCCCATGGTGAAGAAGACCTGAAGACCTCTCTGTTAGTATCTAGAGAGACTCGCCTGCCCTCAGATGGTATGGGCCTGATGTTGCAAACAAGTGGGAGAGATGGTCTCTCCTACATCTATGTGCCTGGTAGATTTCACTTTCTATAAAAGCAAAAGTGTTGTCTCTGTGAAGGAAGTAACACCTGCAATATTGCACCAAGGGAGGAATCAAGGTATTTGGCTACATGGTCAAGGTAGTGAGCTGCAAATTGTCTTCTCCTGACTTCTGCCCCATGAATCTTCACCTTTCTTGCTAATGGTTTTAAAGCAAGGAGGCCTAAGATGCTACTCAAAGGCTACTGGGTTCTTATTCAACTATGTAGTCAACCATAAGGACTTAGAGTGTTCTTTCAATTCTTTGCTAACAAACAGAAGGATCACCATTTATGGAATGCCGCCACATCCCAGTATGTTTACAAGGTGTACAGTGTCATCCAGGTGATGTCCTTCTACAGGTACTTACGACCATAACTACAGGAAGGATCGTTATTCCCATGTTGTGAGGAAATTAAAGTTCTAAGAGTGTGCAGCTTGTTCTAGAGTCTCAGAGAAATACATGGGGGCTCCAGAACGAGATGCAGCACCCTGGCTTACCTGGGCTACACCATAACTAGAGAGGTCTAGAGCTGACCATAACATGAGGAAGGGAAGTTGACCACACACACACACGGACCCCACGTGGAGACAAGAGATGGCTCTGGAGACGCTCCTGAAAGAGCAGTAAAGCTGCGTCTGGCTGCGATCTCCGACAGGTCAACCACTCCAAAGGTCTACCCCGGACTTTCTGACAAAGCACTGAGGACACAGTGGTGCAGGAAATTGACAGAGACCTTGTTGCTGAGTCAACCAAAGGTGTTTTATTGCAAGGCAGGCACAGTTACAGAGCATTCAGCCAGACACCACAATTTCCATAAACCCAAACACAGAAGCAGGCCTTGTTCTTGGATTCCTCCAAAATGAGCAGATCCACAGACAGACCTGAGCAACCCTGTTGACGAGGTCAGCTGATCTCCAATTCCTGCTTTGCCTTGGAAAATGGCACTGTCCACTTGCCGCTTAGCTTTCATTCAGGGTGCTTGGAGCCACTTTTGATATTTATAATTTCTCCACCATTCTAACTGCAGGATCAGACAGGAATTAAATTTCAACCTACAAGGTTTGTGTTTCTTTGTAGTGTAACATATATATCAAATAGCGTGCAAGAGCCCCAGGTATAATATATGTTTGATTATATTTCAACTCCAAGCGATACCACATTGAGATCACTTCAGTAGCTAAGCAAACGTGACTCAGGCCATTACCTGGATCCAAAACTTATAAAAGAAAAAAAAAGAAAAGAAAAAAAAGAAAGAAAAGAAAAGAAAAAAGAAAAAAGAAAAGGAGAGAGAGAAAGAAAGAGAGAGAGAGAAAGAAAGAAAGAAAGAGAGAGAGAAAGAAAGAGAGAGAGAGCACCATGGCTTTTAAATGCCTCAATCTGGAAGCAACACATGACATATGCCAGGCATATGGCCCCATTTAACTGCAAGGGAGGCTGGGAAATGTAGACAAGCACATGGGAATTGATATTAGTGGCCTTTGCACAAGCATCTAATGTTGGACCAGAATAAATTAGCAAACTGCAATATCTACTGGATAAATGCTTGATCTCATCTTTATTTGCTAGTTTTGTTTCTATCTAAACTACAGCATTCAACCAGAATAAAATCACTACCTCTTTGATTCACTTGGCTCCACAGAGTGATTATCTTGTCAAATATCCAAAGTCCAGGAAACACCATGATAATATGTTCCATTATTGCATTGTACACAAAATTACACTGTTTTTAATTATAACATTTACATTCAGTAACATATAAAATGAAAAGCACTAAAAACAGTGCTAAGAAAGCACATACAAAATGAAAAGCACTAAAAACAGTAATTTCGAGTCAGTGTACCATGGGATAATGGTGGCCTGGTTAGGAGACCTACAAATTCAAAGTTCATCCAGGTAAGTGGCCTCACCAAATGGAACACAATTCCCTTCAGCTCCTCTGTTCAGCGTGGACCTGTCCACTTGACTGCATACCCACCCACTGCCATTCTCTTCTGGCAACCTACACTCAGAAATCCTTTCTAGCTGTCCTGATATAGGTAAGTAACTTTGTTGAGTCTCAGTATCTCCCTGTATAAATGGGAATTAAAAAATCTAATGCTGGGGCGCCTGGGTGGCTCAGTCATTAAGCATCTGCCTTTGGCTCAGGTCATGATCCCAGGGTCCTGGGATTGAGCCCCTGCATCGGGCTCCCTGCTCCGTGGGAGGCCTGCTTCTCCCTCTCCCATTCCCCCTGCTTGTGTTCCCTCTGTCGCTGGGCCTCTCTCTGTCAAATAAATAAATAATCTTTAAAAAAAAATTCTAATGCTTCATAGAGTTGTTGTAATGACAAAATAGTCAATAAATATTCTCTTACCAACCGATTATGAAGAAAATGTGAAAGAATAAAAGGAAGAGAAAAGGTGGATCTGAGTATATATAAGGGGCCTGCTCCAAATTTTATTAAGCCTTGGTCTGAAGAGTCTACTTATATGAGTATTTTAAACGTAGAAAATGTTGACACATTCTTCTACCTGGAAATTCACGGAGCTAGGGAGATCCTTGCTGGTGAGCCAAAGTTCAGTTTCTTTTTCTTTTTTTTTTTAAGATTTTATTTATTTGAGAGAGAGAGAATGAGAGAGAGAGAGCACAAGATGGGAGAGGGTCAGAGGGAGAAGCAGACTCCCTGCTGAGCAGGGAGCCCGATGCAGAACTCGATCCCAGGACTCCAGGATCATGACCTGAGCCGAAGGCAGTCGCTTAACCAACTGAGCCACCCAGGCGCCCCAAAGTTCA